AAATTTCGGAATTTAGGGTTACATTTTATAAGTTAAGTAATTCACTGTATTTCAGGATATTGTGCACCCAAAGAGCCTGGACAAAAAAGACTGGATTTAGAAATTTGTAGATAGTGGATAGGGATGATGGGCTGAAAGCTCTGGTAGAGGACAGACCTGCATTTCTGAGAGACTTTGTTTCAGCTCTTCAACTGATTTTTCGCTTTCCCGTAGTTTTCCTCGTAAGGCATGCTGATCACTAACCGCATCGGCAATCTGCTCAAGACGACGCTGAAACGCCTCGTTGTCCATGGTCATGGCCTCCATCTTGTTTCTGTAGTAATTCAATAGTCCACACAAAGTTGTGGAGCCGTTCAAGTTTGTGTTTTCGGCATCCGAAGTAGGATTCACAGGACGACAATCCTCAATCTTTTGCTTGGCGGAATTTTTCGATTGCATGGCTCTTCCGGAGGGAAAACTGAAGAAAAATGAAAGCAGTGTGCGTAAGACCTCATTTTGAATTTGAAACCGACATTCTGACAACCTAAATGGTTAAGCAGAATGAAATCGGGGGGAAGAAGTTTCAAGTAGATGGAGGGATGAGGCAGTTGTTGAATCAACTGACAAGAGGAGCAAAATAGGACTATTACCGACTGAAGTAAGCTATTATTTTGCAGGATTTCGCACCCGTGCATAGATTAAACAGAGTCTGCACGAACTGCCTACCAGCAGCGTTCATCTTAATCCTCTAAGAACGTGAGAACTGGCCATCTATACGGTCGGCCGAAGGGATAGCAGCCTACTTCGCCATCCCGCGACTGTTAAGACGCTTCAGAGAGATGGCTTACGGAGATTGACATAGGCTGGGCGAGCCATCGATGCACAATCAACTGTCTGCCTTTCCGTAAACAGAACAGACGCGATAGTACTCCTCCACGAAGAACTCGATCAGAAGTAGTGAAAACTAAGCATAGCAGTTAAGTTAGTCGCCCGCCTTACATACCCCTAGTTCCAGCATTCTGTTTTAAGGAACCGGTGGTATTAGTTTGGTTTTTAATTCATTATCTGGTTTATTACCTTAATTTTGGTTTTTAGTACGATTAGTTTTGTTTAGCTTACTTAGTCTATTATACAGTAGTTATTTAAGTATATTTATCTAACGTTGATGGTATCTAAATAAACTAAAACTTAACTAATAAAACTAAAAGTAAACGCACGAGTAGGGGTTTCTAAGGTGGGCGACCAACTTAACTTTTACCGAAATAAGACTTCATTGAATAGGCGTCTAAGACAACGGCACACGGTAAAGTATCAGGGGGAGAAATGAACAGTGGCAGTTTGTTCTGAAAGGCGCGCTCACATTAGTTAGTCTACTTATTACTTACGAGAACCCATAAAGAACTTTTATAGAAAATCGGAATGCTCAACTACGAAAATAACTAGGACCCTTGCTGAGAAGTCTACTAAACGGTACTCTTCCGAGAACGCAAAAAACTCCCTGACAAATTATGCACTATTTATGACGCTGTCCGAAATACTAATTTTTTTCAGAAAATCTCTTTGGGCAA